TTTCATGATATAACTGTATTTTTTTGACGAAGAGAACTTTGACACTTCGTAAAAAAAATCCCTGAAATCGTAAAAAAATGACCAAATTTCATGATATAACTGTATTTTTTTTACGAAGAGAACTTTGACACTTCGTCAAAAAAATCCCTGAAATCATATCTTTTATACAAGATAGAAAATCTTACTCGCCTAAAACTCATGAAAATCGTGAAAAATTGTGACCCCGACTTTTACAGGGGTCGCCTAAAACTCATGAAAATCGTGAAAAAATGACCAAATTTCATGATATAACTGTATTTTTTTTACGAAGAGAACTTTGACACTTCGTCAAAAAATCCCTGAAATCATGAATTTCCTCAAGATAGAAAACTAACGTTAGTTTTTTTAAAATATTTTTTTTTATTTTGTATGTAAGAACAGAAAATGACAAACACTGAGTTTGAAACAGTTAAAAAGATAGACAATGAGACCAAGGTGGTTAGAATAGGTGATTTAAACGTAAGATACTCAAAGAAATACAAAAAATATTCTTTGTCAGACATTTTAACACTATCTGAAGGAAAGAAAGCACACGACTGGGTTAAAAATGCTTCAACTCAGAAAATTTTGACAAGAAATCCTGAGCTTATGATATCGGTAAGATTCTATGGAACAAGAGCATATCTCATCGACAAAAGTCTTATACCAGTAGTTTTGTTCTGGATTGACCCAGTTGTTGGATATAATTTCATAACATATGGTTCATTCGATACTGAACGTTGCACTGAGGGCTTACTTTACATCGTTCAGAAACCGAAGGACTTCAATACAAAGAGATATAAGATAGGAAGAACATTTAATATAACTCAAAGATATGACAGTATAGTCAATAGAGTCAAGGTTGCGTTTGTTAACGATATGAGAGCTGCTGAAACAGAACTGCTTGAAAAGTTTGAGAAATTGTATGGTGCTCCCATGAAAGGTAAAGAAACGTTTGAAGTAGATGAGATCGACAAAGCTATAAAATTATTTGACGAAGTTGCTGAAAAATACATGTAAAGCGTTTATTTTTGGTCTTTTGTGAAAGTTAGAAAATAACGCTAATTTTATTTTTATTTTATTTTTTATTTTGTATGTAAAGACAGATATGACAACAACAGAGAACACAACAACTGCTATCGTTCATGAAGATATAAATGAAGAATACGAGTGGGTTCAGTATAACAAACAGTTACGTCTCATTCGTTCAGTCAAAGATGACATGTACCAAATGCAAAGTATTTTGAATGCTCTTCGTTCTACAAAGCAAGCATATCATTGGTTTGAAAACCAACAGACAAAAGAACTTTTAGAAGAATTTCCTCATATGTTTGCGACCCTCGGAAAACCGAGGGTCGAGATTCCGTACGAAAATCGTCAAAATTTGCCAAATGGTTTGAGAGGTTGGTATGTACATAGACTTCTTGTAAATGCTGTTGCAATGTGGGCTTCACCTCGTTACGCTTGTTATATTTTCATGATGTTAGATGAAATTCATAGACAAGAACGTGAAGAGATGGAAAAGAAACTTCATGCAAAAGATGAAGTCATTGAAGCAAAAGACAAAAACATACAGAAAAGAATACCACGTTCGGTACCAAAAGGAAAGGAAAAGAACTATAAGTATATGATTTACACTGAAGAGATGGAAAATGAAGAAGACAGAGATATGGTTATGTTGCATTTAGTCAGAAGAAACAACAAAAGCTTTTACGACCTTGCTAAGATTTACAAATCTGACAGAAATTGGTTCTATCGCGAAAACTTACCGATTTCAATGACACCAAATGAAGATGTTAAACAGATAGTTCAAGATACTTTACCTCAAACACACTACGATATGAAAGGTTGTACAATACTTACATTCAAAGAAGATTTGCCATTGTTAAAGGAAAAGATAACAGAGTATTTTGACAACTTCAAAGAGGAAGAGTAAATGAACCATTTATTTTTGGTCTTGACTTCAGATGGCTCAGGTAGCTCTAGATGGTAAATTGTCTTGTCAAATCCTTCTGGCATTCCGAGTCCTTCCTTCCGACATTCCGAGTCCTTCCTTCCGACATTCCGAGTCCTTCCTTCCAACAGGAAAAGTTTTTCCTTCCAACAGGAAAAGTTTTTCCTTCCGACAGGAAAAGTTTTTCTTTCCGACAGGAAAAATTTTTTCTGTTGTCCGTCCGTAAACCATTCAAATTTTCGAAAATTGAGAACTTTTTGGCCGACCTTCAGAAAAAGTTCTTCCTTCCGACAGGAAAAGTTTTTCTTTCCGACAGGAAAAGTTTTTCTTTCCAACAGGAAAAGTCCTTCCTTCCGACAGGAAAAGTCCTTCCTTCTGACATTCCTCTTCCTGAATGTCTTCCAAAGCCAGAAGAACCGACAGCCCCAGCACCACAACAGACTAAGACTAAAACACTTACATTTTCAAGCTTGTCTTGAAACAATTTGAACTTTGTTCGCGTAGATGTGAATTCTGAAAGAAGTATGAGGGTCTTGTATGACTTTGTACTTCTCCCATAGTTCATGTCTGTCAAACTTACCTGCCATGGACTCTTTCATAAGTTCCATGAAATCGTCTTCGGACAATCCGGGGAAAAGTACAATGTCAGTAAGTATTCTCTTTACATCCTTACTTAAACTCTTGGCTGTCTGTACACAAATGACAACTGAGATGTTAAAGTGTCTGAGCTTCTTAAGAATTCGACACATGTCTTGTTCTCTATTCTTTAACAAAGGATGAGAAGCAAAGTCATCTAAGATAAGAAGACATCTATGAGGGTAAGTCTTCCAATCGTAAGATTGCAATTTCTTCGAAATGTATTCTATCTCTTTCTGTTTGTTTCTGAAGTGTTTCTTCTCTAATATTCTCTGCATTTCCTCATTTGGGTCTTTAAACTTCGAATTGACATACTCATTTATAGCATTGTACTTCAAAACCTTCTTTGGTACTTCTTTATCCAATCTAACAACTCAGAGTCTTTTATACATAACTTAGACTTTTTTATAATATCTTTGAACGAATTGACGGTTTGGTCAAATTGACCAGAAGTACTACAAATGACTACTAACTCATAGAATGGGTTCTTCTCATCTAGTTCTTGTTGTTGTGCAGCCATTTTAAGATAAGTGAAAGTCTTACCCGACCCAGGCGGTGCGATTAGACCTGTTATACCATTCTGAGCAAATAAGAACTTGTCATGTTATGGGTTTTATCTGAGCATTTTCCAACTTCCTCTTGTTCTTGTTTAAAACATTCTCAAATTTCTTGTCAATGTCAGCAAACTTTTTTTCTAACATATTTTTAGAAAAATTAAAAATTTTATCTTTTAGGAAATGTCTAGCGATTTCGCTATCTATATTCGAGACAAGCTTTTCGACAGCAAAACATCTGTCGACCATAAAATCTTACATAGTGTAAACAAGAAAGGTGAATTTGTTCTAAGTTCTGTTTCTGGGAATATGACAAGAACCATAAACATTAAGCAGAGAAGTCTTAAAATTTGTCAATGACAGACTTGTTGACAGAGATGACGCCTCTTGGAGAGATGAAGTCCAACAAAACTTCTTAGAATGCAAAGAGACACATGCGCTGTTCTTGAAGATGAAATAGAAAACAGAATAGAAGAGCTATTAAAGGACAAAGACCTTTACAAAAATATGGTTCTGAGAAGTTTGACATAACTCCACCAGAGAAGAAGAAGAGAGAAAAGAAAGAAAAGAAAGTAGAAGAAGAGAAGAAAGAACCAGAGCCAGAGAAGGGGAGATATGACATGTAAAAATAAAATTTTATTTTTAGAACATTTCTGGGTCAATGTCAATGTTCTCTTCCTCTTTAGGAGCAAACACTGGCTTAGACTCTAAAATCTTTTTACCCAATTTACCTTGAACTTCAACTATCTTAGACTCATAATATTCATAGTCGTCTGCTTTCTTTGGTTCATAAGGTATAACAAGTTTGTATGCTTTGCCTTCTTTAAGGTTGAAACCTTCTGTCAAACTTTCTTTGACTGTTAACAAACCTTCTATGTCTAAGTCTTCAAATTTCGCACCATTTTTAGTCACAATAGCAAACTTAACTGGTTCGATGTTCCAAACTTTGCTGAATGAAGACTTTTCAAAATGGTAGAAGTAAACATTCAAATATGTGAATGGGTCTAGTTCTTCTTTAAGTCCTGACATGTACTTGTTGACTGAGATGAATTTCGTCATCTTTTCTATCGGATAAAAAATATTTTTTTTAAAATTTACTCAGAAAAATTTTTCTTTGTATATACACCATTCTGTACGTCTAAAAGACTTTTGACATTTGCCAAGAATGTTCGTTTAGACGCTGTCATATAACCATACTCTTGACAATACTGTTTATACGAATCGTACAATGACCTTTCATCTAAACACTCAAAGTCAGTTTCATCTATGAACAGTTCATATACACTCTTGTTTGCTTCTAACAATGTTTGTCTCTCTTCGGTATGTGGAATTTGTCTTGGATTGAACTTAGAAATATCTAATGTCATGAAATATGAGAACAAGTGGTTGTAAAAGTCAGATGTCAAAGTTTCTGCTAAGTCGTCAAAATATTCTGTATCTTGCATATGAGCTTCTGACGTTCTGACAACTACATATCTTCTGTCAGAACTTTCTAACTTCATCGGAACGGCGTTGTTTGAAACCATAATGAAATTTGCAACATTTTCACAAACTCTTTGGTCTTTATATTTTCTTTCAACAACTCCAACTTTGTCTGTTATAAGACTCTTCAAAGCATCTGAGTTCAAAACTTTTGTTGTATCTATACTTTGAAGTTCGTTACATACTATAAGTTTCATATTCTCTATTGAAGAGTTAAATTTACCGCAGATGTTTTCTAAGTTTTGTCATATTCGGATTCGAAGCCTCTAACAGTTTGCATAAGATATCTGTAAAGAAAGTGTTCTTACCTGTTCCTTGTTTTCCAATTATGATGAGAGCAGTTTCATTTTTAGCACTTGGATGTTGTAAGATGTTTGCAAACCAACATAAGATATACTCATAGACTCTTTCGTTTCCATTGCATATAATTTCTTTGACATGGTCTAACCAAGCTTCTATAACATTTTCTTTCCATTCTACTTGTTCGTATTTATATCCAGTGAAGATAGAATAGAAGTTTGGAGAAGGTGTATAGAACTTATACACGAACTGAAAATCTTCAAGTTTTGACAATAAGATATCCCAAGCATCTAACATCTTCATACCAACTTGTACGACTTTTATTTTCTTAAGTTTCTGTTTACATTCTTGTTCTGAAACTATTGTCGCTTTAGGTTTGTTAAAGACTACATCCCATTCTTTCATGACATAACATTCTGGGGCAGAGTCAACATAAATGACTAAACGTTTCAAATTCTCGATTGCTTTGTTATAGTCTCTAAATGGACACATATTTCTGAACGCTTGGAAGTCATAAAAATCTGAAACGTCTATTCTGTACATTTTTATAAAAATAAAAAAAAATATTTTTTTTATTCTTGACTTTGTTGTTCTTGAGCTATTTGTTGCATTTGTTGTTCTTGAGCTATTTGTTGTTGAAGTTGTTCTTGTAGTACAATACTTTCACCAGTTGCATCTTCCAATTCGAAACTTTCTGCCGTCATTGACAAATACATAGGACATAAAAGTTTTACAGGAACAAAGTTTGCGTCAACTAAGGTTAAGTTTATGTTTGCTAAAGTGTTTGAGTTTACTAAAGCTGAAAACTCTGCATTCGAATGAACAATAGGCAAACCAGCAGAGAAAGTGTTGTTTATACGCATGAGTATCTTTTGGTCATAGTAGTTTCTGTCGACATTCGAATAGCACTTTGAACCTAAGTTTGAAACAATATATAAAATAGGTGTGCTTAAAGTCAATGGAACAGATAGACCTTGTATGACACCTTTTCCTGTTATAGGAAACTGTTGGTAGTAAAAACCAGATATAAGTTTTGTATTATAGCTCATATCGTTTATACTAAACTCAGTCGGACATCCAAACATAATGAAACCTGCTCTAGTTGCAGCACATGTTACATCCGTCCTTAAAGTATTAAATAAGTCAACAAACCTGTTGGTGGTATATCTGAGTAAGTATCTTCAAAGGAGTATTTTTTACCATTCACAACAATAAAATCTTCTGGTGTCAAAAGAGCAAAACAGGCTTTAGTCGTCATCGTGTTTAAGGTCAGTTTACAATATCGTCCTTGAGGACTTTGTAAGTTTGTTGTTATAGAATTATATGACTCAGGGTTTTTAGTCGTAATAGTATAAACCACTATGTCTTCTGCCATTTACTTAGCAAACAAACTTTAATGAAATGTTGTGGTCGTCAAATATTTTTATGACGTCTGGGAAACTATATTTTAAGTTCAACGTTTCACCTCCTTTCATAACGTATATCTTGTCAATGACATTATATGAAACACCACAGCAAGCAATGTCGGGTTCTATTTCTTTGATGTTTATATCGTCTGCCTCTGTCAAAAGTTTCAATAGTTCTTTCAAAACTTCATGAGGTGCAATGACATATGAGTTCACTTTTACAGGGTTGTGTTCGACCAAGTTTACATTATACCCAAAGCTTGACAATCTTCTCCTGAGTTTTAAGTTTGTCTTTAAGTTGTTGGTAGTCATTTCGAATATCTGCAACAGAACTTAAGTCTCTGCTAACTTCAGGATATGTTGGTTGTTCTTTTACAGGAACTATTGTTATACCATCTTCGTCTTCGTATGGTTTCCCCACTTCAACATCTCTGTCTTTGACATTGACAACAACACTTTGACTGTTTGTTTGAGTTGGTGAATTTAACTTCACATCTGCCATCGCCATTAAACCTTTTGAAACACTTACGCTTCTATTTTTCGGAAATGACATTTTACTAAGAATAAAAAGATGGACGTATTTGAGTATCTCTTCGAATTGAAGCAAAACAAAGTTTACACACACAAACAGTACAAGTTCAATTGACAGAGTAGTTCTTTATACACAAACAATGGAAAATGTTATAGAAAGCAGTCTTTGCTGAACCAAAATATTTTCATAAAGCAAAGAAAGTTGGTATAACTGAAATGGTGAAAGTTCTTGAAGCAGACAAAAATATAACAAACAAAACTGACCGATATTTCTAAAGGAAAGTTTATAATTACAATATTATATCAAAACTGGCGTACTGTCAATATTTGACGGAGAGAAGTCAGTTCAAGAACAACTTTACTGACCTGCTGCCAAAATCTGCTCGATGGAAGCTGTCGTTATACAATCTGAGGAGCCCCAGCAGGTTTCATCGAACGAATCTTCAAAAGAGCATCTTCTGTGAAAAGTGCTATTGGTTTTGTAAACTGCTTTGCTTTCAATTCATCTGGACCGTCTTCTGTCACCAGTATATTGTATTTGAACTGTACCAACAGTTGAAATACCACCCATAAAGTCTTCTGAGTCAGCAAATGGAATGCCAAGCCAAAGTTTTGAACGGTCTCCATTTGTATATTTGAGTTTTTTGACCTCCTGTATGAGTCCATACTTTCACATATGGCATAATAGAACTTTGCATTTCAGGGTTAATGGTTGTTGTGAAGTTGTTGTTAAAGTTCATAGCATCTAATGTCAAGTTGTATGACCTTATATCCTCAACTGTAGAATATTCTTCTCTTGGATAATATTTGCCATCTATGTTTATATGATATTTAATACCAGGGTTGTAGAAACAAGAATAGTCATTTATAGTTCGTCTGAACAGTACAAACAGAGTATCTGCATGTTTCATTGCAGTTGTTAAAGCAATATCTGTTCTTGCACCTGGGTCAGCACTTTGGTTTCCAAACTTCACCTGCAAAGTCTTTGACAGATATTTGGTGTATAGGGAACATAAGTGGAACTGCAATATATTTGGCAGCTAAAGCATTTGAAATATCTGGGTCCAACATATAGACTGCAAGTCTGCTTTCTATTCTCTTGCATTCAAACTTTTCGCATGTGAACTTAACTGGGTCCCAAGCAGTTCCAGCAGCATTGAAATAATAGTTTACTTCAGTGTTGAGGTTTGAGAAACCAAAGTCTAAGTCAACTTTGTCTTTGCAAAAGTCACAGAACTTGGCTCCACCAGTTCCAGCTACAGTAAGAGTGAATGGGTCTTGTGTTGGTGCAATGACTAAGTTATTTTTGCTTGGAGTAAGTTCGATAGAAATTTTTCCTGCCCAGTTTGGCAAGTATCTTAAAAACCTGAAGATGAGGAAAGATGACAAAGGAACTCTAAGTTTCAGTTTTACTTTAGTGGCAGCAGTTCCATCTGAACCAGAAAGGTTAACATAAACTCCTGGAACGTTAGGGTCAAGTCTTCTTATTTTCTCAATAGTTGCATACTGGTCTGTTTGTTCTCTAGCTTGTGGTTGTACTGAGTTTTCAAAGCGAACCATTCATAGTTTGCCCATGTTACTGTTTGAACTAAGTCAGAGTTAGAATATATCTTATATCCATGAAAACTTCTGGAGCATATTGGTATCCGACATAGAAAATTCCATTGCAACCTTTCTTGTCAGACAACTTGGCAGAAGGTTTTATTTCAATGTCTTGTTCCACGTATAAGAAAGAGTTGTCAATAGAAATTATATGAAACCTGTCGCAAGCAATATCTACTGTTGTTGAAGAACCTTCTCCAAACTCACCTACGTTTCCATAAGAAACAGCAGTTGTATATTCGTAAGTTCCAGGAACTATTTCTGACCTTCTAATGGCATTGTCGCATTCGTTATACCATTCGGAAACATTTCCATTCATGGCATCCAAAACTGTTGGCGTTATATTCTGAGCGGCGTACATTTCATATGGGTAAAAATATAGAATAGTTGGATTTATATGCCATAATAGAACCCACGTGGACCAAGCTTTACTTTCTTCCTGACTGAGTTTTTAACTCTTCTTTTTCCTTCATTGCCACTACTTTCACTAGATGAAGTTACTTCTTCACTACTTTCACTTTGTTCTACTCTTCTCTTCTTCTTTGGTGTCGCTTTTGGTAACTTGCCCTCTGCTTCAAGTTGTTGCATCTTTGCCTCATGTTCACCTAGTATGTTGTAAATTTCCCATGTCCTTTTTGCCTTTGGGCTCGGGTCGCCCATCTCAGGTAACCTATATCCTAGAAAGAGTTTGTCATAGTTTGTATTTGAGTCTTCGCGTATTGTTTGCATGACTCTTTTCTGAGTTTCCGGTTCAAGCTCTTCAAACAGTGCCTGTCCATATGGAATAAGCTCGTTTCCAAATATATGTTTTTGTAGCCATTCTGGTTTTCTTTCCATGTTACCAACAATATCCTTTGTGAATGGGAAAGCTTCTACCCAATCTTTCAGTCTTGCGTCATTTATTTCTGTAGTTGGTTTTATTTTGTCAAGGAACATGTTTTTCAATACTAACATTTCATTTGGTACTGTCCATTTGAGTTTTCTTAAATATTCATCCCTTCTCAGTTCATCGTCTGCAAAGTAAGTTTTTATGACATTTTGTAAACTTTCGTTTGCAAGGTCATGTACAATAGGTTCTCTTCCTTCTCCCTCCCTAACTTTCTTTCTAAACTCTTCACCAAATATACCATCTTTATGGTTCTGTGTAGTTCTTTGAGATAAATGTTCTAGAACGTCAGGTGTTATATTTCCATCAGCCATGTTCATTTCATACTGGTTCAAAATATCTGCATCTTTCATATCTTTCAATGGCATTAAAGCCGCGCTGAAAATACCAGCTATATCTGGTTCACCATTGACTTCCATTGCGTCTACAACTTCTTGGAATTGTGGTTGTAAGTTTATGAACCACCTATTCGGATTAGCTTTATGACCCCATCTCATTGTAGTTCCATCGTCTGCAGAAACAAAAGTAGGTTTGTTTCCATCTTGGTTAGGTTCTGAATGAACTTTAAACAATGTTTCATTTCTATATGTTTTCTTGAAATTTAACCTTTTATTTTCACCGAGTTCATCCGAAGATTGAACGTTAAATGCTCGTAAGTAAAAAGGGTTGTTGTATTTGTGTACATTTTCTTTCAGTACTTCCATTCTATGCTGAATATTTTCATCTGGTGTTGGAGTCTTTTGTATGTCGGCAAACATTTTTCGATATTCTTCTACTATGTCAGCCGAATCTTTCTTAGACTCTTGGAAAGATTCCATATTCACCTCATACTCTTGTTGAGGGTCAAGATTTTTCGGCTGTTCCAAATCTTCATCTAGTTCTGTGAAGTTAGTTTCCAAAGGAGGGACTTGTTCGTTTCCTTCAGGCTCTTCTAGCTGTTGTTGCTGAACTATTTCATCCATGTCTGGTTGTATCTGAACTATTTCTTCCTGTGGAGTTTCTTGTACCTCATCTGCTGGCATTTCATATATTCCGAGACCGTTTTTAACAAGTTCCCTATCTAAGTCATCCGGACTCATAAACCTTTCTTCTTTCGTTCCGTCTCTATTTTTTACGCG